CCGCTCGGGGGGCCGCCTGCCTGCGCCGTGGCCTCGCGCGGGGCTGCGGTTGGTGGCCTTGCGAGTCCCGCTTCCTCCCCGTGGGCCCCGGCCCCGCCAGAGCCTGTGCTGGGGCGCGCAGCGGGTGTGGACCGTAGCCCTAGGCTGGGAGCTCTGGGACCTCGCCGTCAGGGAAAGGGGAAAGTGGTTTCTTTTTCTCTCTCTTTTTATTTTACTGTCTTTTCTTCTTTTTTCTTTTTTTTCTTTTTTTTTTTTTTGAGGCAAGGTCTTGCTATGCAGTTTAAGGCTGAACTCACTGTTTATCCTAGGCTAGGCTTGAACTCACTGGGATCCTTCTGCCTCAGCCTCCCAAGTGCTGGGATTACAGAAGTGCACCACCACACCCGGTTTTGGCGGGTGGGTAGAGTCTAGGTATGTAGCCCAGGCCGGCCTTTAGCTGGTGGTGATCCCCCTGTCTGAGCCTCCTGAGTGCTGGGATACAAGAGTGCAAAGGTTTGTCTCAGTTATTTTTCTCTCGTTCCTGGGACAAAATACCTGACACCCAAAATTAAGGAAGGAAAGGTTTATTTAGCTCACAGTTTGTGGAGGTGTCAGTCCATGCTGGGCTGGTTCCAAGGCAGCTTTGGATCATGGATCAATCACAAATCCTAGAAGCCCGCCCCATGACTGCATGAGGCTTTGGGGAGACATGCAGACACAAACCATAACAAGGTTCAATTTCTGATCTCTAGTACTTAAAAAAAAAAAAAGCAGCAAATAGAACTTGACAGTATGAAACACTGAAGTTTAATATGAATAGTGAGCAAAGCAGGAATTAAGATTTCTAATCTGGTTGTATTACTGTAACATTTGAGAGACTCAAACAACGTCACATGGGTATAAACCCGCAGAGGTAAGGGGTTGTCTTTGCAGCATGTGTCTGCAGGTTTTCTGGGCTGTCATGTCCCGTGCATGGTGGGGAGGCAGAGGGAGGTGTCTCCCCTTGGGGTCCCTGCTCCTGCTCTCAGAATAAGGGGTCACAGCACTCTTCTAGCACCTGCCATGGCATTTGTTCAGATCCCCTTGGCCTGAAATAATCCTTCCACCAGGAGTAGCATATTGGGGATGGTCCAGAAGGATCCCTCCTTTGAGGCTTGATGCCGTGGTCCTTGTGGACTCTGTAGAGCTTGGGTCTTGAGTGAGCTAGGTGGGGACCTTGGCATACCACAGCACGGCCTGCAGAGGGACGTGGGGCCCGTGTCTTGGTAAGGGTGAAAGTGGGTCGTAAGTAGACCTGGAGGCGGCCATCTGTGCTGCTGTGTTCTGTGCCTGGAGGTGAAGGGTGGGAGGGAGCCTGGGTCCTACTCTTGAGAATGCGGTGGGAGCAGGGAGCAGGAGCAAGGCAGGGCAGGAGGTGAGGCCGCCCATCCAGTCCCCAGTGGTCAAGCAGAGCTCACTGGGAGACTTGAGGGCTGCATGACCTCCTGTGCTGGGCCGCTGGCGTCCCGTCTCCCTCTGCAGCCACAGAGCCAGCCTGATGCTGTCTTTCTGTCCTTTCCATTGGGGCTCACAGGACTGGGGGTTCCTTCACACCAGCATCTTTGCTGGGACCCAGATAGACCCGAGCGCCCTGGTGCAGAAGCTGGAGCTGGACGTGAGGAGCGTGGCCTCCCTGAGGAGAGGTGAGTGGCTGTCCAAGGGCACGGGGCTGTCTGCGCTGAGCAAATTCAGGTTGACCTGCACTTTTAGAAAACATCTGTTTTTGTTTTTTGTCTTTTTGAGACAGGGTCTCACTATGCAGTTTAGGCTGGCCTTCAGCTCACTTTGTAGCGGAGGCTGGTCTCTAACTTGCGAAGATCCTCCTGCCTCTGCCTCGGCCTCCTGAGTGCTGGGATTACAGGTGTGTGCCACCATGCCTGGCTAAAACATCTTTTTTTATGGAAAAATTAAGGAATAGTTTTGAGAAAGCCCATGTACCTGTCATGTGCCTTCAGCACCCATCTACTTGTGATTTTTTGTTGTTGTTGTTCTGGTACTGGGAATCAAACTCACAACCTTGTGCTTGCCCGGCAGGCTCTGTACCACTGAGCTAAATCCCCAGCCCCTACTCATGATTTTAAAGTGAACACCAGGGTATTTCATTCAGAAGTTCTTCGGTATACTTCTGAGGGCCCTTATCAGACCTTATCTACACTACCATTGTCACACTCAGGTGAGTGAGCGGCATCCCGTGTCCATGGCGACTACTGTGGCAGAAACCAGGTGTGAACATGGACCCTTGCCCAGCAAGGGCCTTTGCTTTCTTGCGCTGTGGAAGGAAGTCGTTCTTCTCCTGGGGTTTTGCTGATACACTCCCTTAGCATCCTTTATTCTGTTTCTCCGAGCCAGCTGGCCTCATTTGTAGGCCAAGCTTCTGGCCTGTGGGCAGAGAGCAGCCCTCTGCAGTGAAACCCCGTGTGTACTGCGAATGGTGACAGTCACACACTCACGTAGATGTGAACAGGCCCTCCCGGGCGGGCTGCCAGCCCTGCTCTATGGGCCTTCCCAGGCTCTCAGCTGCACACTTTCCATCTTGTATGCACCTCAGCCTTCAGTGCTTAGGTGGCCTCTTTTTTCCAGCGTTCATTCTCTGTGGTCTCAGTGCTGTATAATTTTCTTAACTCTTAATTACAAACAGCTCCCGGGATTTCCCTGTGATTTTCTTTCTTTCCAGGTTTCCATCTGCATCTTGTTGCCAGTTATAATTATGTCACAGGTGCGGTTTCGTTGTCAGCATCATTGCTTTGGGTCTTAGAATTTCGCCAGGGTCCTTTGTCTGAGTGTCCTGCCATCTTTGAGCCTGATGCCCTCCTACTGACAGTTCTCAGGATGACACCCGAGTGCATGCAGCTCGTCCTGCCCGTTCTTCCTGGCAGTGTTGCTGGGACCTGGGTGGGGCTGCCCAGCGCCTTGCTGGCTGTGTGGGCTGTGTCTGCTCGAGGCTGGAGCCCAGCGCTGCGGTTTTGTGGTGACCCACAGGAGTGCACAACCTTTCGCATGTCCTCTTGTTCTCTCAGCTTTGTGTGTGTTTGGGGCAGTTTGATCAGCTTCCTTAGATGTAAATGCAGTCTTTTTGGGTGCGGATGAGCACTGGGAATTGAACCTAGGACTTCACACGTGCTAGCTGTGTGTGGAGAACCACTGAGCTACTGGCTTGGGTTCCCCCCCAGGCTGCCCCCTGTGGAGTCTCCCTTCCCTGGCAGACCACGTATCTGCTCAAGTTTCCCTCCACTCCCCAGGCGGTAACAGTGCGTTAACCAACCATCTCCCTGGCTCCGCAGCCTCTGCCCAGCCTGTCCTGTTCTCCCGTGCAGCCTGGGCGGGCTTGGTTTCTGCTGAAGTCCCAGGGCTCTAGGCCCCCTCCCATGCAGCGTGCTGTTCCTTGATGCCCTCAGAAAGGGTCCCCAGTCCCTTCGCATGGGAGGGCACATGGTGTGGAGGCGGAGGGGCCACCCTGGGGGCAGCTGGCAGGTAAGGGCCCCTTGTCTACGGAGAACCTCCGCCTGTCCCCCCACAGAGTGCTTTTTCTGAAGGGCTCACTGAGCAGTTAGGTGGGGTCCTGAGGAGCGTAGGAGTCTGGATCTCTTTGTGCACGCAAGCCCCTCGGAGGCGGGCAGCCGTACTGCTGTGGCCCAGCTTGTGTGGTCTGGGTCCTTGGCGTCCTCCTCGAGTGTGTCCTTCCACCCTGTGAGGGTCCAGGGGACCAGATTATCCAGCTGTGCTGCCCTGCCTGGCTCTGGCCCAGCATGGTCTGCGCTCTGCCAGCTGTGGCTTGCACCGTGCTCCCGAGAGGATTTGGAAAGGTGCTTCTGTGAGAGCCCATGCAGGTCCTGGCGACCTGGGTCCCTGGTAGCCCCTGAGGCGGCTTCCAGGACACTGTCCCTTGGCTGTTGTTTTTCCGTGTGTTACTACGTGCCTGCGGGTCTCCTGGGAAGCAGCCTGGCTGGCTGTGTCCTGCACTGTGGCTCTGGGCCCTGGTTTCTGGAGTGTGTCTCCAGTGCTGGCCCTGGTTGGACACGGGTGACTAGGATACCCCGTGCTTCCTCCGCTGTGTGGTGTGAAAGACGTTGCTTCCAGCTGAGGCCTGCAGACCTTTGGGAGGCACTCAGGTGTGGAGGGTGCCCAGCTGGGGAGGGCTACCTCTCCTGAGGGCTGCAGAGTCCCTGTTGCTGTGGGGCTGGCTCTGCCCCTCCTCACAGCAGGTTGAAGGCTTTGCAGCTCCCAGTCTCCTGTGAGGAGGGTAGGTGGGTCATGTGACTCTGCCCACCTACCCATCCTTTTTGTGTCTGAGGCCCTGGAGTGGAGGGGACCCCAGCCACGTGGTCCAGTGGAGGCAGAGCTCTGCCCGGCCCGGCCCATCCTCCCCCGGGACCCTGCCATGCCTTGCCACGGCCTCTGCAGCCTGGAGGCTGAGTCCCTGGGTGCTCTGGTCTTTCCTATTTCTGCTGGATCCCTCCTCTGCTGTTCTAGGTGGGGACTCTGTGGCTAGGGATCTGCTCAGCTCTGTAGCAGCTCCCTGGGAAGAGGAGCAAGGGCAAGGGCGTGACCTCACCCGGCCACCCTGCAAAGACACCCCTGCTCCCACACAGGCTCCGCCCTCTGTGGCAGGGCCAGTGCCAGCTTCCTGGGGCCCTGGGCCCCTGTGAAGCAGTTCTCTGCTCCTTCCAGTTGTGGGTGGAGACTGAGGCAGTGGCAGATTCAGGTGAGCAGCCCTTCCCATCCTCCCTGCACTCAGCACCCCAGTATGTGCAGGCTGCAGCTGGGACAGCAAACTGGGCACTTCGTGCTCAGCCTGGCGGGACCACCCTGGAGGTGCAGGGCTGTCTGGTGTGCGTGTCCTTCCATCTGGGCACAGAGCTCACAGTGGCACTGTGCTGTCGGGGGGTGGGGGGCAGCCCAGTACAGCCTTGCAGCCGGGGGCAGCATGTGCTTGTGTGGCGCTCAGGTAGCTTGAGTCTGGCACTCAGGCCTCCAGAAGGGCACGCATGTGGCCCTCTCAGGTGTTAGGTGCCTGTCCAGGACCCAACTTGGTGGTCCCCAGCAGAGTCTGTGGATGTGACCTCTGGGTCCCCTTTGGGAGTTCATCACCCCTGTGTCCCCGTGCTCTGCCCAGCAGAGGGCAGCAGAGCTGCGTGTCCTTTCAAGTCAGCTCATTGGAGGACAGGACTGGGGTGGAGCATGCTGCAACCTCTTCCCTGTGGTCAGCTCCCCAGCCGGAGGAGGCTCAGGGTTTCCTTCCGGCGTTTTTACAAAGCTGGGAAGCCAGGGTGGTGACAGGAACCTCGTGTAACCAACTCCATGCGTGTGCCCACCAGACCTCAAACTTACACAGAAGAGGGTGAGCATTGTGAGACCTCTCTGGAGGCCCATCCTCCGAGGAGGCAGCCCTGTCCTTGTCACTCCATGGGCGCTGCTGGGCACTGCCTTGTTCCCACCCGTGTCCCTGTGAGTAGCACCTTGCTGGGACCTGGACCAGGTGTTCAAGTGTGGCCAGTTTGGCCCCACGAGTATTTCCGTGTAGGGTCGCATGGTGGCATTTCTCTGGTGTTCTGTCACACCACCACGGAGTACAGTGCTGAGGGTTTTTCTTGGCCAGGGCCGGGGCAGGCCGGGAGCCAGCATGGAGCCAGCTGACTGGGTTCTGTCCTGCCCCCTTTTCCCTCCTGGCAACCTGAGGCTTTCTGGGGCCGGCTCCTTTGCTTCAGGGCTGGGGGACCCAGGAGGTCATCCTTTAGAGCTGGACAAGCAGATGAAGAAGCCAGGCTGTGGCCCTCCTGGACGTGAGGCCCTGGCTCTCCCGACCCGCCGTGCCTGGTGGGTACCACACCTGCTCAGACAGTGGGGTGGGGCGCTTGAATGGAAGCTGCGTGTTGGACTGAAGGCCTTGCAGCTGTTGGGATGTGTGGCCGAAGCTGGCAGGGCCCACAGACCTGTGGCCAGCTGCAAGCACTTCCTGTGCTCTGGGCACTCAGCTAGTCACAGAGTGGGAGGAGCCCATGTTGGGTGCCCCAGGCCCAGGAGAGATGGTTACCCGACGTGGTGGTGGGTCCCACCATTGAGGGCCAGCATCAGGCCATGGCCAGGGCGTGAGCCCAGTCCTGAGGAGCAGAGGGAGGAGGCAGGGCGGCTCCTTGGCCCCCTTGGCCCCCTTGGCCCCAGCTGCCCCTGTCGCACTGCACCACGGCAGACCTGAGTGTTGTGGGCAGCCTCTGTGTGGAAGCAGCGTCCCACCGTCGAGAAGGCAGGCCTGTGGCCTTGCCCTGCCGCGACCGCTGTGCCCGGCCTGCACCGGTGCTGCCCATGTCCTGCCTGCTCCCTGCCTGCTCACCCACCTCTCCAGGGAGCAGCCCGTGCCACGCTATCGCCAGGAGGTGGCAGTGGCCCTGGGAGAGAGGTACAGGGCTGTCACTGTGGGGCGAGATGTGCCCTGTTCTCCCGAGCTGCCGGCCACCGGAAGGCCGGTCCCAACCTGCCTCCCTTCCCCAGGGTCTGTGGGGCTGCTTCCTGGGGGGACCTCTGGGTCACCTTGTCTGGGTGCTGCTGCCCGGGCAGTGTGTAGCGTGCTGGGCGCAGAGGCACCTCACGGCCGGGGTTGCTGTGTCTGAACGCAGTGCTGTTTCTGCTGCGTGCGAGCTCGGCTGCT